ATATTTTATATCATTTTATTTTAAATGTTTTACTCGTGATATCTGTCCTCCCATCACAGTCATGGAAGTCTTGAGAGTTTGCCTGAGAATTTCAGAACCCTCTTCTGGTTCCTTACCTTAGCCTGGGTATTTCCAGGTGTCCAGACCAGCGTCTCCTCCTGGGATTCCTGCTTTCCACAAGAAGGACGAGGCAAAAGAGGAATAAAAGAACTCTGGCAAAATAAGGCATTTTGGCGAAAACAGTGAGGAAATAGGTTACTGTCCAGTCACTTCTTACAGGAGAAGTCTTTCCTGGCTTCCACATCAACTCAGCTGGAAATCCCAGGTTCTTGCTGAACCTGGAGGATCATTATTAGGGAAGACTGCCTTTCTGAAGCTGTAGTTTGGTCTGATGGTTAGGGCTTCTTTCTCTGTCTGTGACTCTCTTCCTCACTGCTGCTTGGTGATTGGCCATTAAGAAGTTTCTCCTGTTAGTCAGACTGTGCTTCTACTTGGTTCTGAAACTCAGCCTTTTGATTGAAACTGTTATATATATTTTTTTAAAAATCCCTTCTCTGTGACAGCTTTTTGCTGACATCATTAATCTCCTTCTCTCAGGCTACATCAAGCCAAGCAAGCTGTCATTTTCATTTGGAAGGCTTGTGAGAGTTCCGAGATGGATTGAATGGAAAAGCTTGGTAGGTATGGGAATGTACAAGTAAAAACAATTAGTAAGTTCATGAACTGAACTGTTTTCATAAGGCTGTTTATCTAACACGTTGCTCCATGATTTTCAACCTCAAAGAAACCATTAATAAAAGGGAATCCTTAGAATTTTAATGCCTTTTCACACCAGGAGGGGAAATTAATCTTTTCACAAAAGCATTAAATACTTCCATCCAACTTAAGGTACATAGCTAAAATACACAAAAGGAAATTAAGAAGGGATGCAGACAAGAAAGGGCAATATTGGCACTTTCTTTTACTGTTGTTCAGTCCTGTCCAACTCTTCACAATCCCATTTGGGGTTTTCTTGGCAAAGATACTACAGTGGAGGGCAGCTAGATGGCACAATGAATAGTGCACTGGGCCTCGAGTCAGGAGGACCTGAGTTCAAATACAGCCTCAGACACTTAATACTAGCTGTGTGACCCTGGGCAAGTCACTTAACCCCAATTGCCTAGGGCCCCCCACAAAAAAAAAGATACTAAAGTGGTTTGCCATTTCCTACTTCAGCTCATTTTACAGATGAGAAAACTGAGGCAAACACAAGTTAAGTGACCTACCCAGGGTCACATAGCTAGTACGTGTCTGAGGCCAGATTTGAACTTGGGTCTTCCTGACTCCAGGCACACCACCACCCAGTACCCTAAGTGTTGGTACTCCCATGTTAAAATTGATGCTTAAGTTTTTAAAATAAGTTTTATGGAGGTCTTGTTTCTTACATTGTCATCTTTATCCTCAGTAGCTTAATGTGTACTTTTTCCTTTTTAAAGCTGAAAATAGGAGATTTTTCATGGTTTCATTCAACACTTTTTTGTGCTTTGTATATAGTAATAGCTCACAAGCTGGCACCTTTTCCTACCTTTCTTTCCCCCTTCTTACAACTTGCTTCCATCTTCTCATTGTTCCTCCCGCACTACACTCCATCTCCTTCCTCTCCTGGGACGCTGGAGAGTTCTCACTCCTAACCTCCCCCTCTGGGCTCCTGGCTACCTTCAAAACTCAGTTCAGATCTCACCTGGTCCAGCTCTCTCCCTGGCTGCCCTTTTATGTGTATATTCTGTTGTTCAGTCATTTTGAGTAGTCTCTAACTCTTTGTGACCTGGGGTTTTCCTGGCAGAGACTGGAGTGGTTTGCCATTTCCTTTTCCAGCTTATTATACAGATGAAGAAACTGAGGCAAACAGGGTTTAAATGACTTGCCCAGGATCGGTAAATATCTGAGGCAGGATTTGAACAACTCAGGTCCTCCTGACTCCAAGGCCAGAGCTTTATCCACTGTGCCACCTAGCTGCCCCTGAAGTTTGTTTAAAAAAAAATTCTTTACTTATCACTAATCTACACTAGTCTTTGGGCGTCTAGATGGTGCAATAGATAGAGCACTGGGCCTGAAGTCAGGAAGACCTAAGTTCAAATCTGGCCTCAGACACTTACTGTGTGACCCTGGGCGAGTCATTTAATATTGTTTGCCTCAGTTTTCTGATTTGTAAAATGAGCTGGACAAGGAAATGGCAAACCACTCCAGTATCTTTGCCAAGAAAACCCCAAATGGTGTCACAAAGAGTCAGAAATGACTGAACAACAAAACTGATGGAGAAACTGAGGCAGTGGCTAAGTGACTTGCCCAGGGTCACACAACTATTAAGTATCTGAGGTTGAATTTGGACCCAAGTCTTCCTGATTCCAGCTCTATCCTCTGTGCTACCTTTAACTGCCTTAGTCCTGGACACCATGTTCCTCTCAATCCCACCATATCTTACTGAAGCTTTTTTTGGTTTCCATTTTTTGGCCAGCCTTCCCTATGTCCACCTGTACATTGAAGTCATTGTGTATACATTGGTTTTGGCTCTTATAAATTTCTTCATTCAGAGAAAGATGTAGGTGTAAAAATTCTAACTATCTTCACGGTGGTCCATTTCCTTAAATTCACCATGATTATGGCAAGGTAAACTAACCAACCAGGAAATATTTGTTTCACTTGAGGACAAAATGAAGTCAACTTCATGAGCTTTATTTGCCTGAGAAAAATCCTTCCAATTAAGAGAAATTTCATTTATAGTGAGAATGTGCTTTCATTTATAGTGAGAATGTCAACATCACTAGGTTAGTTTCCCTAGCTCATTTAAGTTATTATTTGTACATGGCCTAAGAACTGAGTCATTCTTAGCACCTTCTGCCCCTTTTTTGTTCCTCCACAATTTAAAATTGCATTCATCAAACTTTAGTTTCCAAAATGAGGGAGGTAATTGACCCTACAAGCTATATGCTACCCTTGTCAGACCATATGCAGAGTATGTTGGGGCATTTTAGGTATGACTTTTAGAAGCTGGTGTGCCTCCAGCAGATGGAAACCAAGAATGGTGAGGGGACTCAAAACCACTTGAGATAAAGATTAGTTGAAGAAATAGTGGGGAGAGGAGAGGTGAACTATTCACTCAGCTATTTGAAAGGTTATCATGGAGAAGCAGGGGACCCAGTGGTGGACATTCCAGGGAGATTAATTTTGGTTCCATAGATGGGAAACTTTTCCACAACTAGTCCTGTCAAAAACTGATATGTACTCATACCATTTAGAAGGTTCTGAGTTTGCTATCACTGAAGAGATATCTTCAAGTCTAGTCTTGAGGAGTATTTGTGGAATATGTTCCAGATAGGAGTCCTGCTTAGGTAAAGAGTTGATCTAGGATCACTTCCAACTGAGGTTTTGTGATGTTGTGGCATACCAGGAACAGGAATTACAGAGATTTGAAAAGTAGGGCTATTAATGTTCCCCAAAGTGCAATCCCTTATTTAGACCTAGATAACTGCTAGTGATTAGGGCAAAAAAATCTTCAGGGTGAACAAGGTTTAATCACACTAGTTTTGGTTAGAAATGGCAGGGGTTGGGGTGGGGTGGGAGTGCAAAATAAAGCAATGTGATTGCATTTTCTCGTGTAGCTTTAAAGACAGCTCCAAAACAGGACTTCAAGAATATGTTGAGCAATGACATTATTGAAATAAGTCTATATAGCTTATCAAGGTGACTATTTTGAAAGGCTTTTCCTTTAAGTGTTACATTATAGTCCTAATATGTATTTCCAGTAAGTGATTTAAATATATCCCATAACTCAAAAGTTTTCATTAATTTCATTCATTAATTCAAATTAGCTTCCTACCCAATGAAATATAAATTTAGGCCTGCCTACATATATATGTATATACATTTTATATATGGGGGGGAGTAAGAGTCAAGTGAGAGAGAGGTTCTAGCCTATTCCACAAACCCTAAGCACCTACTATATGCTACTATATGCTAGGTGCTGGGGATAATATATATTTTATACACACACACACACACACACACACACACACACGTTACTTCCCTGGAGACACTTACAATCTAATAGAGAAGACCGATAAATGTTTGCTGCCTGAGTGAGTTTCAAGGCACAATAAACATCTTTTTAAGGGAAAGATTACTTTCAGTTAGGGGGCTCAGGGAAGGCTTTAGGAAAGAAGTGGCAACCAAGTTGGACCTTGAAGAAAGGATTTCAATAGGGACTTGTGGGGAGTACATTTCAAGCATGGGAGTAGGAAGTCTGGTAAGGGGAAGGACAAGCATAGGGAATAACTGGCACCTCCACTCTGACGGGAACACTGAGTCACTAAGGGAAGTCATATGACCTAAAGTTGGAAAGGTAGGTTAATGCCATTATTACAGATAGCCTAAAATGCTAGGCTATGGAGTTTTTATTTTACCCTACAAAATAAGATCCACTTGAGACTTGTGCAAGAGACTGACGTGGTTGGATCTACAAATGAGAGATTTTGGCAGCTGTGCAGATGAAGTAAAGAGTGAAGATACAGAAACAAAGTGAGGTTAATTAAAATAATCCAGGCCATAAATTATGAATTCCCATATGGCAATGTTTTGCATGTCTTCTTATATGTAATTGATATCATATTGCTTGCCTTCTCAAAGAGTGGGGGAAGGGCTGAAATGAGGGAAGAATTTGAAACTTAAAATTTTTTTAAATGAATGACGTTTTTTCAAAAGAAAATGAAAAAAAAAAGCTATAAGAGCCTGCACGAGGATGGTGGCAATGAATGTGAGGAGGTAGAATCAGATTCAAGAAATCCTGTGGAAAAATTTAAATTGCTTGGGAACTGATTAGATGTAGGAAGTGACTGGTTTTCTGTTGAGACTTTATTTTAAGAACAATGAAAATTTTTCTTTATTCTTCAGAGCAGGAATTTCACTTTCCCCAAAACACAGACCATGGAAAATTGCCTAACTTTTCAAAAACAGAGCTGAAGATGTTGATGAAACACTGATTATTTATTTTTAGTATAATAAAACAAAAATAAGCAGCATTGAAAACAAAGTGCTAAATAAAAGCCCCCCAATATAATGAGAAAAGCTAATTAAATCTTCTAGGAAATTTTAAATGAAACAGACACTAAATAAGTTTCTTTTAAAAGTTGCTGACTTTAACCAGCTTGATGTAAACTTAGGCTCTGTGACTACAAGCAGCTGTGGTTGACACAAATCCATGGACGAGGAAGAACCACAGAGGGCTGATCCACCAGGTCACTGGCCATGTGCAGCCTTACCCTGCAATGAGGAAGTAGAAGTATGGTTCTCTTGAATACTGTTAGGGGTAAGAATTAAATGAGAACCCTTCCCCACCCCTTGCAGTTTTACTTGTTCCCTAATTCCCCCAAAAGAGGCCAGAATAACAACTCAAGTATCTGTCCTTAAGAACTTGTGAGAGATGAAAGGCAGAATGTGTGGAGGTAGGGGTAACTTTTGTTGTTCTCATAGGTGTCTGCTGGAAATAAAGGAGGGAAAGAGGCAGATGTGGCAAGGTGGGCATCTGGATCAGATTACTGATACCTATAATGGGAAAAAAACCCTTTCTACTCTAATGATCATAGCTTCATAACTAAGAACATCAAACCAACTTCAGTAAATTCTCATACAGGTGAATGGCTGTCTCATGCTGAGCTGTTAGAAAGACTTTTTTTAGATTATAGGAAACATTCTCCGAGCTATTATGCACCCCTTCTCCCCCGGCATTTAGGGACTACCACAGATTGGAGACTGGGGAAATGGCAGAGGGAAGAAGGGCAAAGATTTATCTTCAGCAGGTGACACGGGACCATCCTGGCTATTGTGGCAGGAAGAGGAGAGTGAATGAGGCAGAGGAAGACAAGTGAATTCCCTTCTCACTGATAAAAAGGGCCACTGTGGCTTCCCATGAGTGTTTTTAGCATCATGAGATGAAATTCAGAACACATTTTCCCAAATAAACAATACCAAAAGGCTCAGTGGCCTATTAAACCCTTAATGCAATTTAACAAAAATTTATTAAGTGCCTATTATGTGCAAGGCACTGGACTAAAGACTAAGGATACAAAGATTCAATTAGACAATGGCCCCTTTATAACCTAATAACACAGCTGAAATAATATTGCTCCAAATATAGGCCATACCATTAAAATGAGATAGTGAGAGAAAATAACACAAACACACACAGCGAAAAATAATGCTAATTACAGGCCACACTCAGGTTATATATACACCAGATTTAAGGGTAAAAGTGCAGCCTATATTCAGACCAATATGGTATGGGGGGAGGGAGTTTAGGGGAGTGTCTTCATAAAGTCCTTGTGCTCTCTGAAGCTTAATAATTTAGGTTGCAGACATGATAAACACAATCTGTAAATATCATTGCAAAGCAAATTTATTAAGGCTCAGGAAAACCACATTACATAGATTTATACAATGTGTTCTCATTTTAAATCTTGTGACAAATGAAAACTAGCTACTGTGTGGATGAAAAGAACTGCATCAACTGTAAGAAGAAAAGTAAACTTGCCTTTCAATGCTACTTACAGATTGTTTCATAATTACAACCTAAGTCAGTAAGGTTCAAAAGTTAGAAGTTTAAAAGGTTTAAAACTGCATAATGAACTTGATTAAGACCTTTTATCAGTTACATTCTGATTTAAAGTCTTTTGTGGGCTGGCCTCAGAATCTAAACACCATAATATTTTTCCCGGAGAGCAAATGGATTCTGTATTCTAGAACAACTTCCAAATAAAACTTTAAGAACACAGCCCTTTCTTCAGTTGGGAGCTGCCTGTATTAAAAATACAATCAGCCAGGCATCGTGGCACACGCCTGTAGTGTCTGCTGCTGGGGAGGCTGAGGCTGCTGGTTTGCTTGAACCTGGGAATTCTGAGCCACAGTTAAGACTAAAGCTGACCAGGCATTTGCACTAAGTCTGGCACCAATATGGTGAGCCCCCAGGGAGCGGAGATGGAAAAACAAGCAGGTTAAAGCTTCCAAACCAATCAATCAGCAGTGGGATCGGGCCCTGAGTAGCCACTGCACTTTTAGCCTGGGTGAGATAGTGAGACCCAGTCTCAAAAAAATTTTTTTAAAAAGAAAAGAAATACAATCAAAGCTTTTCAATAATACTGCCCCAGTGATTGCCGACAATGCTGCCATTGAGTTAAATGTATTAAAAAACAAAGATAATATTTCCATGGCTCTGCTTTCCCACAAGGCATTGGAATAACCCTGGGTAACTAGCATGACATACTCTTGTAAGTGAATGTTTTTCACATTAAAGTTAAGTCTTGGGCTTGGATCACATTGATTTCAATTAAACACACATTTTTCTATCACTTGCTTTTTCATAAAGGATGGGCAAAACATTTCTATACATTATGCATATTTTGGAATAATTAAAAGATAGTAGCACTGGGTAAATGATTATATTCCTTATTTATAAGTATTTTAAGAACATGTTATATAACCTTCAATTTAAAAAGCAAGATATACAACTGATATAATCAGAGACAACATTCAAATCTTAAGATCAACCTATATAACTTCAAAGGAAAAAGAAATTATTTTCTGGCCTGGACCCTTTTTTTTCCCACTAAAACCAAAGATCTGTGGGGATTTGAAACTATCTGGAGAATAAAAGAAAACGTTTGCAAAGCAACATTCCCTTTTCTTAGTCAACAGTCTATTCACAAATATGGTAATGTTTTTCTCCTTAAATGCTTTTGTCAGAAGTAATTTTTCACCTTTACTAAAACATGGTTTCTCACATGCACAGAAATTTCATAAAATGCCCAATTCTACTTCACCTCCTAAGAATGACATTTAAGCAGGACACCAGAATCTGAACCCCAGAAACAAGGGGTTTTGTTTTCCCCTCTCCAATTCTCCTCTGCTCCCAAATTATTCTTCTCAAGCAGAGGTCTAGTACCCAACACAATGGGCATTGAGCTACCAGTAACACTTGGAATTTAAATACCACTTTTTATCCAAAGTTTCAAATAACTTTACAAAAAATTATCACAAATTTATACATAAGGAAATTGAGGCATAGAGAGTTCTAAGTGATTTTCCAAGAGTCATAATGCAGGCCAGTGGTGGGATGTGGGATTTATGATTTCCAGTCCCTTGAGCTAAATGCTAATATTTACTCTCTATGGACATAATTAGCCTCAAAATCTGTCTAGATATATACTGACATTTATAAGGATCAAAAAAGGAGGTGAGGGGCAAATACAAAATTTTTTTTGTAAACAGTTCTTATATCATACCCACTGCAGAATGTTTAATGAAGCATTCGAGTCACAGCTCTTAAGACAAAAGCAATGTTATAACTCAAAGTCAAATATGTACTCGTTGGCCAGATAGATTCGTCGGAAGATGAGAGCTGCCAATGCGAGAGTCAGGATGACGATCAGTATGGCTGATCCGATATGATCCGTGTTGGGGCTGGCTCTTGGCTGCTGGACCTGAACCTCAGGTGAAGACGATGACGTTCTTCTTTGACTTTGCTGCTGGGCCCGGCGCTGTCGAGGGCTCATAGAGGTATTCTTAGAAATGGTTTGGGGAGGCTCTTGGAAGGATGTTGCAGCAATGTTCTGAGCATCACACTAAGAAATTTTAAGAATTGTTAATTGAAATAGGCAAAGAAAACACACACACACACACAGAATACAAAGAGAACTAAATATGGACAAGAACAGGGTTACCAAAAACCATTCTAGGCGCCTGAAATTAGCCTTAAGTTTGAACCTAAATAGTTTGATGGGGCCGAGTAAGAGTAAGGATTTGTGCACAGACTTCTCTACTGACTGATTACCCCACGCTAATCTCCACTGGTCCTCTAGCAATGCTTGCTGAGACTAGGTTGTTGATTACTTTAGTTTCTCTGTCTTTCTTCCCTCAGGACATCTGGGTAGGGAAACAAGCTGACTCCTACTTTCAATCTGATAGGCCAAAGGCAGCAGTTAATGTGTTTTTTCTGTATCATGTACTGATTTGGAACAAATATCAATATTACTCAATTCGCCTTATGTATCTTGGTATTACACTCATCACATAAAACTGGACACAAGTTTCCAAAAATACAGTGTCTCACCCCACAACAGACATTTTACTCTCAACTCAAAACTGCTGTGTTGTCACCCATAGTGATAACCTGTGTCAGATGGTCCCACAGAAGCTTAAAGGCACTGTGTTCTGGGTCAGACTGAGATCTTCTAGAGAGTGGTGATGGGAAGAGAGAGGATTCTTCTGGGTGGCTGCAGACTACAGAGACTTGGGACAGACTTATCTTTTTACTCTGATATATTTTTGTTCAGGAAAAAATGCCTGAGTCTGGCATTTGTCTTGATTTCTCTGTTTATGACCAATTACAAGAAAACATTATTCCCTACTTCATTATTATATGTAGCATATAGCTCCCTTCTTCATAAAAGGAGAAAAACAAACCTCACTGACTTTTCAGTAGCAGCTCCACCTCTGTCATCTATGGGTTCAAATACTGACTCTGCCATTTACTAGTAGTATGACCCTCAAGGAGCCTATAATCAACTGAAAAACTGAAAAGTTAACTGAGAAAGAGTAATACCACCTTAAACTTGTGATACTTTTCTTCTAAGAATCCATAAAAGTTCAAAAGACCATCTCTCTCTTTTATAATATCCCTTATGAAGCACACAGAGTAGGTATCTTGAATTTATAGGTGGGGAAACAATTAAAGACTCTAAAAATAACAAAGGGAGGCAATAGTAAAGACATTAGCTTCTTGTATATTCTGAATTTTTGACTGCAGGGACCCCAGATTATTATGTTTGCTACCTAAAGAAATTAAATAGCATTGCAGTAGCATTTTATAAAGCATCCATAAATCCCAATGTTCCCAATATAAGGCAAATAACTTAGTAGTTATTACTACTTGAATTGAATTATCGCAAACAAGCTAGAAAACATTCAAAATAAAGTATTTGTTCTTCTTGGTTAGTCAACAAGGTTAAAATAGGTAAGAATACATTCAATTCCACTTAAAATAGCAAAATTCCTTAGTTCCTAAGAGAAAAAAGAGAAATACAAATTCCTAAGAGGAATAAAAAGTGGAAGTAGCAATGCAGAGACCAGAATAAAAAAGCTAACCAGCCTAAGATCAACCCAAATTAAGTCAAGTCTTTCACTTCGCACAACTTGCTTGCTAATTACAGTTAAAAAAAAAATTCCAACCTTTTCTTTCCTCAAAACCTAGCCTAAACAAACAGCTTACCAAACTAATGTACAATTTTCAGAGGGAAGGCACCTCAGCTTTTTTTGGGGGGGGCAGGAGTTAGGCAATGGGGTTAAGTGACTTGCCCAGGGTCACACAGCTAGTAAGTGTTATGTGTCTGAGGCCATATTTGAACTCAGATCCTCCTGAATCCAGGGCCAGTGCTTTATCCACTGTGCCACCTAGCTGCACCACACCTCAGCTTTTAAAACACATGTTTATGTGATGTAGGCAATCTGATCTTTTAAAATATTAATCTACTTTGGATATTATCAAGGTTCATCAATGCAAAAAGATGGAGATTTTATCCCATTTTAAGGCTATAACTGGGGTTCAGTTATTTCACATAGTCAGTCATCTGTATGTCAAGGACCACTGACCTAAACCTGGCTGATACAACTAAGCTTTCAGCAATTTTTAACATTTTGCTCCTTTACATAAGAAGAACGTTTAAAAGATAAGTCTTAAGGGTAGGTAGGCAGTTTTCAGCATACAAGCAGTCAATTTACACCTCTTCTGCAGACAACACTTGCCCTTGTCCCATTCTCCACCTCATCCCAGCCCCTGCTACCACTGTCCATAAAAGCTGTAATGAACAAATCTAGGATTATTAGAGAAAATATGTTCATATGTAGAATAAGGGAAAAATCTAAGAAAACAGGAACACCTTAGTTAATTTGACCCTGGGGACAGTTAAGACTGGTCTGCATAGCTTAATGGTAACCCACATGCCACCAAACACCTTCCATACACTGCCTTAATTTGTTCACTTGATTTTGTTAGACTCATCAACATTCTATGGATAAGAGATTAATATGTCCCTTAAAAATTCAAATATCTCTGCAATTCTTATAGGGTTATTATAGTTACTCACATAATGTGAATTAGCTCAAACCCCTTTCCTCCAAACTCCTAAGACCAAGTTGCACTAAAAGAGAGAATTTCGGGGAGTGGGGTAAATTTGTAACATGGAACAATTGAGAAAGGGTAGATCTCCATGACATACTGCAGTTGAAGGCAAGAGGGTGTTCAGAGCAGCAAGAGGGCTTTATGTAACACTTGGGAAGGACAGTGATAAACTGAAACACCAAAAATTCCACCAGGTTGGTAAGGAATAGAAACTAGGCTATCTGAGGATCTGTTTTAAGTATATGAGGAAGTTTAGCAGGAAAAGAAAACACTAAGGACACAAATGTTATCTTCAAGTCTTAGAGGCAGCAAAGTAGAGTGAACAGGGTCCTGATAATGGTAGTACCAGACCCAAATTCAATCCTAACTCTGCCACCTGCTACCTGCACAACCTTGGGCAAGTATCTTGACTTCTCCGGCCCCGCAGTTTCTTCATTTGTAAAGGAAGAAAGTCAGATAGATGACCTCTCAGGTCCCTTTTGGCTCTACATGCATGATCTTAAGTAGCCAAAGCCTATTATTCTAGGCCAGGGACTAGATGTGTACCTCTTGGCCCCAGGAACAGCAGATTTTGGCCCAATTTTTTAAAAATAATTTTTTCCTAACAAAAGCCATATAATAATGGAATGAGCTACCTCAGCAGGTAGAGAGCTTTGTTGTTAGGAATTTACCATTCTTCTGAGTCATTCAGGTTTACAACCTTGAAGTAATCCTGAAGTCAGCTTTAATGCTGCACTCCCATTCTCAACCTCTGTGTGAAAAGAGCTGCCAGTCTTGACCATTCTACCCTCACCACATAGCTTGTGTCTTTCTTTTTCTCAACTTAAATGAGCTAGTTCAGGTCCTCATCAGCTCTCATGTGATTAACTCCCTAAACGGTCTCCCTGCATCGGTCTCTTCTCTAATCCATCCTCCCCAAAGAATGCCAAATTCATATTCCTAAAACAAAATCTGACCATGTCGTCCTCAAAAATCTTCAATTACTCCTCAGTGACTCTAGAATAAAATATTAACTCTTGAACCTGACATTTAAACCTTCCACAACAGACTGACTTATCTTTCCCTTCTTATTTCTTATTATGCCTTCACAAACTATCCAATCCAAACAAATTGGCCTGCTAGCTGTTCTCCATACATGACATCCCAGTTCTTACCTCTGTAACTTTGCACAAGTGATTTCCTATAACTGATATAACACCTTGCCTCTTAGGAAGCCTGGCTTTCTTCAAAGCACAACTCCAGGACTACCTCCTATACCAAGCCACTGCTAATCCCTCATGGATCTCTCTTGAAACTACTTTTTTTTTTTTTACACATTTACTTCTGTACTTGTTCTATCAGCCCAGTAATAGCTAGCATTTCTGTAATGCAAAAAAGTTTGCAAAGCACTTCATCTATATTATCTCATTTGGTCTTCACAACAACCTTATGAAGTAGGCACTATCATTCCCATTTTAACACTGGGAAGCTAAATGACTTGCCCAGGATCACATGGATTCTAAGTGTCTGAGGCAGGATTTAAAGTCAGGTCTTCCAGACTCAAATACTTTATCTACCACCAGAGCCTCCTAGCAGCCACTAGCAAAATATAAGCTCTTCGAGGGCAGGGATTGTTACTCATTTTTGTCTTTGCTTCCCCAGAACCTAGCACAGTGTCTGTCATATAGCAGGTATTTAATAAACATTTGCTGAATCAAACCGAATGCTAGAGGGAAGCTTCCTCTTCAGATACATGATAAGACTCTTGAGACCTCTGTGTCTTCTTCAAATCTGTGATTCTTAGGGCTTGCAGGAAAGAATACTATAAGGTGAGAGAGGCATGTGGAAAGAGGGGTGAGATTATGCCAAAGATAAACTAAACCTACCTCAAACTTTTGCCTAGGACTAGCACTGCTGTCAGGGAAAAAAAAAACCTAGCACTTCCTCTCTTCCCCTCTGGCTAGTGCTCTCCTCTCAGGATCCAAATGAGCTAGTGCCATTAGAATCATGTCATCTTAGGGCTGAAAGGTGCCTCAAGATCACTTAGTCCACTGTACTCATTTTAAAGAGGACCCTATAGTTTAGCTACACTACAGATAGATTTTTGTGAACTGCCCTGTTCTGGGGTAATTCCCAGTTTTAAATAACCAATTTGCAAATGATATTTTGAAACACAACCTTTTCATAAGTACTATTTGCAAATAAATTTTCAGTAACCAAGAAGAATCACTATTTCTGGGTTTTAGAAAATATAACACCTTATTAAGAACCTCAGTCCCTGAGAAGATAAGAAAACTGGTAAAGAGGAGAAAATTAAAAATGACAACATTCATTGTTGGAAAAGAGAGGCATTCTTGTCTTCTACATTTCGACAAGGCTAGAAAAAGTGTAAGTATATATCAAGATGCAACAGATGGCCTAACATTTTCTGACGTGTTTAAAATTTTTACCAATCTCTCGCCCCCT